CAGCAGCAGCAGCAGCAGCAGCAGCAGAAAGAATGGGGGAAAACCACAAAATATGGATGAAGCTGTAACCGCTGCTCTGAGGCTCTGCACACAGACAGAAAAGGAGCTTTCTGGTAGACACATTCGCAGCAGCAGCAGCAGCAGCAGCAGCAGCAGCAGCAGCAGCAGCAGCAGCACAAGCGGCAGCAGCAGCGGCAACGTCGATGACCCTGAACAGCCCTCGCCGCAGCCGACGCAGTGTGAGTGTTCCTCTCCAGCAGCAGCACAAGACAACTCTATGAGCAGCAGCAGCAACAGCAGCAGCAGCAGCAGCAGCAACCGTACGAGCAGCAGCAACAGCAACAACAGCAGCAAGAGCAGCAGCAAAGTAGAAGGCCCCCTGGCTGCTTTTGGGGGGCCCCTCTCTCCTCGGCGGCTGCCCCTGCAGGTGCTGCGGTGGGCGACAGATAGATTTTTTGTTTATCTGGATGGGTTGACATTGATGTGGGTGATAGGGGTTCGCCAGTCTGCAGCAGCAGCAGCAGCAGCAGCAACAGCACTTGCTGCTGCTGCAGCTTTTGCTGCAGCACCTGCTGCTCAAGCAGCAGCAGATGGATTCAATCTCTACTTCTTCCCCGCCAAACAAATAGGAGAGAGACGAGCGGGCAGAAAGGCCATCCGTTTCTTGCTGCTGCTGCATTTCCATCAAAAGCAGCAGCAGCAACAGCAGCAGCAACAGCAGCAGCAGCAGCAGCAGCAGCAGCACCATGTTCGTGGGAACGACCTACTGCCAGCCCCCGTTCTCCGCTTGCTGCTACACCCAGAGGTGGGTTTGCTTCTGCTGCTGCTGCAGGGCCGTGGGGCCCCCAGCAGGGGCCTCTGGGGGCCCTAAGGAACCCACAAAGACCCCTCAGGCTGAGTAGTAGTAGTAGCAGCAGCAGCAGCAGCAGCAGCAGCAGCACAGCTTCAGTGGCGCTGCAGTTGACATTGTTGAAGGGTTTAGGGTTTGAGGCGACGTGGGTTGGAGTGAAGGGGGGTGGAGCGCAGACCTCATGAGGGTTTGTGAAATATATTAGGGTTTATTGGGTTTCATTAGGGTTTAGGGTTTAGGGTTTACTGGGTTTCAGGGTCTAGGGTTTAGGGTTTAGTTTAGGGTTTGTTGGGGGTCATTGGGGTTCCGTAGGGTTCATTCAGTTGTACAAGGGTTTAGTAGAGTTATTTAGGTGTTATGAGGGTTTATGGGGGTTTATAAAGGCTTTTAAGGGTTTTCGAGGGTTTAGGGTTTAGGGTTTAGGGT